TACATCTATAATTCCCTGTACAAAAACGTTTCAACCCTAACGTATCAAACCGTGTAACTATGTCCACAGTCAATTCCTATATACCTCTCTTCTAAATTTTCTCTCCCATCCTTCGGTTTTCGATTCGTCACTTATACAAGAGCTACTAAGTATAAAGCGACAGTATTCAGGCACCAGTCAGGCACTGAAGTTTTGTAGTAATAGCCTAATTTGGTAGTCGTGAACGTATTTTTCCGAAAACAAGGTCCATATCACCCCTGAGCAGTCCTTCATAAGCATAATTAGCATCTAATTGAAAAATAATATGCAAAAGTCAATTAGGTTATTTCAAAACTTTAATCGTACTCTGGGCAACAAAAGAGGACCTCACTGTTTGTTCGGCGCGAAAATTTATGTCCTCACCGGCTATAAAAGGTTTGGGTTTATCTGTCATTTGCCGCCGTAATCCTAAAAAAAATCTTGAAGTCAATGCTTTTGATCATGTTGTTCACCTGGGAGTCACCAAAATGCATAGATGCTTATTTTCTATTGGATCGTCTCAATCTTGAAGAATCACGTGATAAGTGTTACAAGGGCAATAATTACAGAAATTCTGGTATTTACTTCACGTTCTTAGTTCGTTAAGAATGAAAATTTGAAGACAAATGAAAACACAAGCTTTAGTTACAGTGGCGTCAACTGTGAACATAAAGATACGTGTAGTGGGTATCTGCAACAAACTCCGGGTTCCTTGCTTACTGCAGATATCTAACCCAACTTGATTCAGTCAAAGGGACAAAAGGTATACATTTTGCACTCTAAAACGTAGCACAGTCAAATTACAAAATATCAATGCAACACTAATTGGTTATCAGAGAGAGCAAAATGCCCCTTATTAGCCAGTGATGCAATTCTTCCCTCGATAGATAGATCGGTTCAATCCACCGCCGAAGTTCAGTAGGTAGTCAAATAAGAATTAAGATAGTCAGTGAGAAATTAAATTATATCATGAAAATGACCAGAACCACACAGCTACACTTTTACCTTCTGATGTATGTCATCATTAAATTCAGCTAATCAACGACTTTCACAGGTTATCAAATATCTGTACAAATAATTAACAATGTTTTTGTTAATCAGAGACTGACTGGGTCATCAGATGATATTCTCATGAACCGTTCTTCACAAATATCAACATTTTTTGGATTCCCATTCTTTTACATATTGCTCAACGAATATCAAATTACCGCATTATGACTGCATTTTAGACGAGTTATTTCTATTATACAACCCCGCCTGGAGCCCCTCTAGGGCTACTGCCGGTCCCAAGCCCACATAAAGGAGGGGGGTCGGGCGTGCGGTTAGAGACTCCATTCTGTAGAAAACCAACTCGCTAAAAAACGCTAACCAGAATAAAATATTTATACTGCACATTTTGTAGACCATAGATAATTCGACCTGTTGGCGATATGGAGCTTACATTTGTCCAATATTCATGTTAAGTCAAACTTCTCTCCATATTTGAACCAATTAAACCTTAGTCGAGTTCCAACAACTTTATTATCTATGCGAATCAACTGAAATATCTAATGGGCACTAAGGTAATTATGAGTAGATAGCGTAGTTCGATTCCACTTGTTTGCAATAATGTGTGTGACAAGTTCAAATCAATTCAGATATACTACAGTACACTATTTATTTTACTCCGAGTTCATCATAGCTTAAGTAAACCTTTCTAACTTTTCTCAGACCAGCTAGAATGAAATTTGAAGATCCGAAACCTAAAAAGTTATAGATAAAATGGTTTCAATCGTTAACAACTTTGCTTCAACAACATAGTTCAGTTCGAATTTTCACCAATGCGGTTATTTACGTTGTTTAAGCCCAAATCAGTCGCGATTATAAATACCAAAGTTTGCATTACGTTGCAGCCAATACCTTTTGTTCAGAGATCGTTCGGCAAGTATTCTCGGCTATGTGAATGCAAACTGTTCTTGGATCCGTCTGAGAAACTTTACATAATAAAATAAACTTTCAGTCACTGATTGACAACCGATATACTTTATTTCTAAGAGACTTTACTGATTAAGACAGCCGACTACTCCATCATCCTCAAACTGGAAGCATGTGGCTTCACTGTATGGGCGGAAGTTGGCAGAAATACGAAAATACACTTTGCTTTCGAGCTTTCTCGACTCAATTTGCAACACTTAATAATAAAGGAACGTTTATCACCCATAAATACTCATTAAAAACCAAGAAATCAAATTTTTGCCGGAGACCAACGCCATCTTGGACATAACACCACAATGTCAAGCCGCGGATACCGCCATTCCGGCAAATGAGTTTCTCATCTCCCTTGCGCACGAATATAAAGTATTTGCGAACTGTGATGATGTACATTAAATAGTGATACGAGGTCCTATTTTGTGGTGATAAACTCTAAGCAAATGCAAGGAGAAATGACAGTGTTGCAAAACATTGAAAATCGGAAAAGATATGTTAAGAAACACTACATCGGTCGAACACAAGCACTGTAGCGTGGTGTGAGTTGAGGTTAACTATGACCACCGCTACCAAGAAGCACGTGCCAAGTAGATCAGAAGGCGAAGGTCGAACGTAACCAAAGAAATCTATAAAATCCCTGAAAAGCCAAATATCAGAAGGCAATTAATGGACCAAATCGAGATATATTCGCTGACGATCTCGTGGTATCGAAAGGATACCGAGATCGTGCCAGGATACAAGCTTGGTTACAGAACGTAACCGAATTCGCGCGAAGTTACGATCAAATTGTGAGAATAGGAATGGAAGCACAATATAGCTGTCATTAGCACAGTCGAACAAGGGCACATTAAAACAAGCACCGGTACAGTTGGTTATAATAATATTTGTTTTTATTAAACCAGTCGTGTTCTCGTGATAAATGTGAGTCACTACAGCACGTTCAATAAATTACTGCGAAAAATTGATGAAAGAGACACGTGGTTCATGACGGTCTGAGAATATTATGTGATCCAAATCCTTTTAGCAAAAATGATCAAAAATCTGAAATACAAGACTCACGAACTAATCATTCGTTTACTGACTAGACATGTTGATATTGTGCATTGAGCGTGACGAACACAAAGCACAGCGCTTAGGCAAATCCAAGGTTGGAAGCAGTATAATCGCCAGGTACCCACGATAGTCTTGCCACCTTGCACATGAATCGAACTAAGCAATGATGGAAGTTCATCCCAGCTTACTGCTGTGTATTTTCACATCTTCTGTAAGACTATAATTCATGTGCGACGTTATTGTAATCCTGAGAATGTCCACATATTAACTAGGACTAAATGACGGTTATAAAGCAGTGTGAGGAGTTATAATTATGATTTACAGTTCATGGTTAGGAACTAGATTTAAAGTTTTCATCACGAACTGACACCGGCTAAAATGCCAAGACTCCATCTAGGCAGACGGATGAATGAAGTTCGCGCCAAATTCTAAGACTTGTTATCTTGTATCGGATTGGTTTGTCCATAAATTATAGTCTCGCCAAAAATCCTCTTCAAAATAATGCTTAGAAAGAATGATAAAGGCAAAAACTTGAAATGACAAAGTCTTACTGATTGCTTTTTTTCGTAATATCATCTATATTCTAATTCTCTCATCTGCCCATACAGTGCACTCCTGCGTATTAATGTGCCTTTGATCGTCAGATTTTCCTGAAGAACGTTATTGCACTCAGCATCAGCCTACGATAGGTCAAAGTATCTGCAAATCTCACGACAGTATACTTTACAGGCGAGATCTTATGTGTATACATGCGATTGTGAAGCTGCCATGATTTAAGATTACTAAACGTAATTAGACTTTTATTAAGTTAAATGAAACAGACAGCTTGGAATCTTGACTTTTGTTCTAGTTGCTAATGTGTGAATACCCTTTTACTACACAAGATGACGGTAGTAATTTTTAAAGTTTCTTATGTGAAATCAGTAATGTATACATTACTGATCTTCCAGTTCTGCTTAGAGTTAATTATTCTGGTAAGGGATCGAAGGTACTAACTTCACTGACAATGCACTCACAAATGGATTGGTCACTTTTTATCCCTGAATCTTGAGTCGAGATGTATATATAGCAAACAATTTAACATAGACTTGACAAAATACATTTGCTAAGGCTTCACTCCTATGTTCTCGTCTAATTCAAGTGTAAATATTCTCCAAAGTAGTTCTAATACTACTCCAAAACCATTAATTTGGTAATGTATGATTATTTAATTATAAAGACAGCAGTCTCCTGATACTTCTACAATGTAATAAATCAAAACCCCTGAAATGTCAGTTAACTACTACTTCCGGCGTCATCAAAGTGCTTACCAGTCATCTATAAGTGTATATAATAGAAACAAATAGCTTGCTGTGTAATCGATCTTCCCGATGAACATTGGCTAAATTATATCTGGAAAAGACACCATTAAACTACAAAAAGTTGAGATGCTTCACTGTTTTTGACGAGTTTAAGCACTAACTGGTAAATAGTTCATGTTTGTGTTTGTAAAACGTGATCTCTGGGTGGAAAAGACTGCGCTGTTATATTTGTTTACTCACCATTTTCCTTAGAGGACTAGTCACATTTTATGGTGACTCAAGCCACTCACCAGTCAGTACCATCTTGAGATACTAAACCCCCTTGACTTAAATCTTTTGTAGGTATTGTCCAAGGATCTGTGATGCAGATCACTGTTTGTCGTCATTTAGTGTGACTTGTGAAAGGGAGCAGCACGTTGAATATTCACCCTTTATTTGGACTTAAGTGAATCATAAGAATTTTGTCAAACATAACTTACATGCGAACCCATACCATTTGAAAGTAATTTAGTGTTTTGCGTAAAATGTATTTGAGATACATTTTTAATAATTAAAAAAACGAGACGTCGACGTGGCCTTATTTAACTTACTATTATTGCCAAATATTTGAGACGATAGATGTTAATGGATTCTTTAAATCTCTTTATGATACCTCAAAAGTACGGATGAATATCAAGAAAAGTTATCTGGGAATATACAATGGATTTCAGCTAATGGGGTTTGTTCGAATATATTATTTTAATAGTTTACAGATGGGGTTATATACTATCTTTGTACATATCTGAGTCATCCATCAAAAGAAAGTGGTTTGAGTTCAGTGTTCAAGTAGATATTTTTCTACGCCTGTTCCAATCACTAGCTGTCGTTGAGGTATTTTTGTCGAGAAAAAAACTACTAACTTCTGTAGATAATCCATTCCGCAGTAGGATTAGTTAGATCTTCCGTCATGACAACAATGTTACAGGTATCTTCCCGGTTACTAGTTGTGTGGGGAATTTTATATATAGTCCCAGAAGTAAGTGATTTTAGTGTGACCTAATACTTTAGGTTGCACGTGATAATTTGGGCGTCCCACTCATTGTTATATCGTGGTCTATTGCTGAAATGATTCGTTATTCATATTATGTAGCAGATATATGTAGGGTCAAGTTAAATCTGCTAACTTGGTTAAGGTAAGGAAAATTCATGATTCATTTATTTCAAAAGGTACTCAGGTTTTATGGTTTTGTATCCAACTGGGATTTCTGTAAGTCATATAAGTTCATGGGTAATCAATGATTAAGGGTGAGGTTCTTCTAATAGTAAGTGGTATAAAAAGACTGAAGGAAACAGAAGAATATTCCTTCAATCTTCCAAACGCTCTAAATTGTTCACTCTATTATTGGTTTGCTTTGGTTACTATACTTATAACCTACATTCCAGGTAAGTTCTCATTACTTCACAACTCTTTTGTAAAGGTTCGAAGACAATGTACACTCACATGATGCGTCAAAGAAGAAAAGTGTTACAAAATTGTAACTAAGGAACAATTGTTGTTTTTTCATTATATGAAAAATTTAGCTTATTTATAAATGTTCCATAAGTATTAACTGCCATTTGGCATTTCTCTGATGTACCTAAGAGCACCCAAGATTTAGTCTCTTATTTCATCTAGCTAAAACGTTCCAAGTGTGACGAAATACGTATTCTGAACCCATCCAACTGCTAGCTATCATCCATCTCTTTATAACGTCTGTGACAATGAAAATATTGAGGCAATCCACACAGGGTTCATATATGTTAAAAGAGATTTGCTAATTGTAGTCCTACACATCAATTGGAAATTTCAAATAAGCAGTACATATGAGTTCATCTGTTCTATTTTACGCTGGATAAAACAACTGATTTCCCATGTACTTGGATATAAGCTGCACTCTTAGTGTGAAGGCTAATGATGCTATTCAGTTGCCCAAACCAAAGTTGGTAGTGCAAGGTCCGAACGTGAAACGTAGTGGCTGCAAATTAAACTCCCTAAGCACTAGGTCACCATTTAACAATGTAATTCGATTGCAAGCGACTATTGGAAACTACGTTTTGGATTATTAGGTTGCCGTTAAATATTAGCATTTTCGTCTCACATATAAGATCCAGTTATTACAAACTGGCTTCATTGCTATCAGATCATACACTCAACATCTGGTTCTTCTAAGCTTGTTTATACAGTTGGGAATAAGTGTAGTATTAAACCACAACCTAAATTACGAAACCGTTAGGTAAATAAGTATTATAGTTTGATTAATACCTTTAAGGATTCATCAAAACTACCGTCCAATTGACAGTATTTTTGTTTAAAAACATCATTTTCACAGCTATTTCTTAAAAATAGGGTTAATTAAAAAATCATTTAATAGTAAACTGGAGACTGCACTTGTACTCAGATACTCTAACATCCATGTGGTTGGTAGGCTGGACGTAAACAAAAATACAAAATTGCAGCTAGCGTTTAGATTTATTTAACGGGTTGATATTGCTTGCAGATTGGCCGGACTAAAGTAGTTGATGCGGACTCACACCTGCTTTAACTACTGTTCCAAACTACATTTGAAAATGTGGTAGGGCGGTAATAGTTGTCTGTAAACTAGGTGACACGACTCAAAGTCATTCGCTGTTTTCTCGAGTTCTTATGTTTGTGATATAGTGACGTTGGCCCAAATATTGTAATCAGTTTTTACGATAAGTGTATCTTTAAAACTTCTGTGTACCATAAACGAGACGATTTAACACTAACTGGGTCCATTTCACAATACTGACTAGAAGGCTGTTACTGATATGTCTATTAAGACGTTGAAGCTAGAGTTTATGTCGTGCAGGTCTGCTCGTACTGCAATCAAAAGTACACGTTTCTTGTCACAATAATTGAGAACTGTGGATTTGTTTAACCTAGATAATAGACCTCCAAGAAATTGATAAACATAGCAGCTGGTGACCTTGTTTTGCGTATGTACGTAATAAACACAGGACAATACGAGTGAATATTCTCCCAATGTGATACACTGCACATTCACGATTAGATAGTAAGCAGGCTCCTTACAACCTGAAACTCGTCGATCTACTACACCTAACCGCGAGTTTTACAATAAACATGTTACGCTTAAGTAGGAAGAAAAACCTGGACGGATCTTGGTGCAGATTTGAAGGCTGAACCTACATTTGGCACTTACCGCAGGGCATCTGAGCCATTGGTAGAAAGCTTGTATGAGTGAGACTTTTTGTGTTGATGGGACAGCGACCATTAACTCCTAATGAAGTCTTGAAGGACAGTTTTCAAGAAACGGTTCAGTTCGTCTTTTATTCCAGCGGTATCTATCAGAATGCACCGTGATCGCTAGTTCGCCTCACACGGCGAGAAACTAATCTCCAGCGCCATCGATAAGTCTCCTGTTTGAGAAGGCAAACTTTTCGTTAAACAACAGCAGGATTGTTGATTAAAGTATCACGACATCCTGGGACAGAGCGACTGTCGTCCCCATCGCCAGAAAAGTTACGTTTCATACGCAACACTGCGCTGAAATATTGAATATTTGTTAATCGTATATTCAACCCTCTCTCGCACCATACATGGATTACGACCGAATATACTGTGGATCATTGGCTACCTCAGCTCTTGAAATGACTGTTTTGCGACCATGAGGTTTGCTTATCAAATCTAACTTAAGCTTAGATTAACTCACTCTATATTTAGGTAAAAGTCGCACTCCAGGTGTCAAGGCTGACGATACTACCTGGTTGTCCGAGTCGATGTAGTTGAGCCGTGTTCGAACCAATGTCTCGTCAACCTGAAATGTTCGGTTGACGTAGTCCTATTTATTGAAGACGCTGGCAAAACGCAATCTTCCGATCACCTGGAGCAACAATACTGGGACGCGTTACTTCAGGACTGGTTTACTCTAACACTTGGACTACGGATAAAAAAAAGTTAGGTAGTTCTACTTCACGGCTGTGAAACTTGGTTTGTCACAGCAAAGATATTCGTAGACTAAAAGTTTCTGATCATAAGTGTCTTCGAATCATCGCTCACGCTTCTTGAAATGACCGAGCGAGCAATGTTAAGATTAGGCAAAGTTGTAAATCTCCGTGGACTGAGATGGCTGAAACGTGTATTGTGTATGCCTAACCGCCTCACACTTCGATATGTGTAGTTTGGAAGTGCGAAATTTGGAAGGAAGCTAAGGACAGTTGATCGAAATGTGGCATTAGTCCGTGAAGTCATTGGCTGTTGGTCTAATATGTAGAGAAGTGCAAACTACCTGGCCGAATAAAGGTTTTACGGATAATTTAAGCAATCGATGCTGTTGTATCTCTTTTGAAACTAATATTCATGAATAAAGTTCGGTATGGCAGAGGTTGTTTATTCAAATGAGCGCTTTGGCTGCAGGTTGTTATTTATTAATGAACCTAGGAAGCGTTTCTTAATGAACAACTATTTCGTGGTTGTATATTGATGGTACTGTCAGCTTCATTTTGAGGCTATTACTGATTATTTTCATCACTGTATCCAACCTGTATGCTCTGTGTGACTACTTTCAAAAGGCATTTTATATCATAAGACAATTGCTTCGTATGTCCATGTCAATAAGTGACTCAAGCAACACAGGAAACAAGACTTCTGAATTACAGGAAATATATAAATTATCCCAAGAAGGATAAGTCCTTATCACTTGACAGTATAACAGATATTATAGGCTTTAAAATATATTAGTACAGAAACATATACAACAAATAACGGAATATTTATTGGAAGTCAGTAACTAGTGGTCACATTTCTTTTGATATTGGTTTAAAATGCACAAGAATACAGCTAATCCTTAGCATCAATTGTTGTTAAGACCCAGTGCGTGTTCCAAGTCCTGTCGTCTTTGGGAAATCTGTGAAACAAAAGCGGTAGTTAAGCCTTATCTCAACGAATACTCGTTTTGTATGGGAATGAAAACATCATCGGAAAGGTATAAACGAACTACCAAGTTGGCTTTTGTAGATACATGAAGTTTGAGTTTGCTGTCCTAAGTTCAGACGGGAATTCCGTATCCTATTATCCAATTGTGAGAATAAATTGGAATATCAAAGGCTTCAATATTCGCCATATTTATTGTTTCAAGAAGAAGGACCCATACAAACTGATGCTTTATTTCAAATTGAAAAAAATCTAGTGTTGGTAAGTAGTGATCACTATGAATCATGAAATGCATACGCTTGGTAAACGTAATATGTTATCCTCTAGAAGATGGGGTCAGCTAATCAGGAAAACACTATGGTGAGGGTTTTTGTATTCTATGCCACCGCACATATAATGATGACTCGTTACTGCGACCATACGACGACAAGCACCAAGTTTACGCGTACAGACCTTACACTAACCCAACGGTGGGCATAAACAGACAGTGTTTTTACCAATTAGCCTAGAAAAACAACAGCGAGTGGATACCACTGTAGCTTACGATGTGGAAACACTAGTGGACAAAACTGCATTTGAGACATCTAGTGTCAGATCATGTGTCTACTACCCTGAAGCTCCACTACAAAACAGGTTGCATTTTGTTCAACGAAGTACAGAGTAAGAGGTCTACACATAGCTGCTGCAGTCATAAGACGTTTACCAATTAGTGTTGAGTAATATCTGTTAGGGAGAAATAAATCTCCTCGCTAAAACTCTACCAGTTTGTGGGATATTGCATATTGTTGTTTCTTAAGCTAAACGAATAACAATGGCTTACCCTGTTGTAAAAGTAGCGCATTACTGCTTCTTGTGTCCAGTGAGCGTTGTAGAATTCAGCATGACGCTCTTCCTCCGGATGTCCCGGCGTAGCATCGGTCATCACCCAAAAGTCACGACACTGACTAGCTAACCAGCGCGATATAAAGGTCTGTGGATCACGGCTGAATTCCAAGTAAAATTCGCGATGTACTTTCATTTGATTGATCTGTTCAACTAATTCGTGTATCTGTAGTAATTCGAAATAAATAAAAACTAATTTAAAAAGACCGCTACTACTAAATTATTTCAAGTCTTGGCTCGTCGTCTGACTATATACTATCGAATGATATTGATGTTAAGGAGACATATTCCATTTACTCCGTATGTATTTTATCGATATATCCTGTTAATAACGTAGATATGAGAAGCTGAATACGAAAGCATTTGAAGGATGTATATTTCAGATATTCGATCATGCAGACGGACGAGAAATGAGCGTGAACTGAAGTGTGAGAAATAGCCAGCTCAGAGAGTAATGGGTAACTCA